TATATGGAAATTGTCCATTAAAATGATAATTTTTTCCACAATTAATTATAAAATTTGTTTCCATTACCAAAAAGAAAAAAAATTTCCTAAAAAATCATTTTTTTTTATCAAAGTTTAGTATTCGTTTGACTTTGTTTTACATGAAAATTGTCCATTAAAGTGAAAAAAATTTGCAATTGGTTACGAAATTTGTTTTCTATTATTAAAAAAAAAAAGTTAAAATTCGATTCATTTCCTTCCACGCCTAGAAAATGACGCGTGGAGGGAAAACTTTTTCCACAATTGGGTGGAAAAAGTTTGGACATCAAACAACACCAAATATGGAAAATTCATGCTATCAAACACACCCTTAGACCACCCCTGCTTGTTTCTGATTAAAATCTGATTTTAATTTTAAGTCAAAGTTAACAATTAATTTTAATCACACATTTCATGGGGTCCACAACTTTTCAAACACACATTTCACTAATTTTTATCAAATTTACTAAAAATCTGATTTTAATCTATAGCAAACATGGGGCGTAAATAATAAACCAAAATACTACATGATTGAAAAAAATATCAAAAATATTTTAACAGAAACTTACCTTATTTTCATATTTAACTGAAATGTTGAATGACAATAAAAACAGGGAGGAATTTATTGAAAATGTTGAATATATGCGAACTCGAAATTCAAGAAATGAGCTTCGATGATGAATCGAAATCAACAATGGTTTCAGGAAGTTTTTCGGTGTGGATAATATCTATATTGTAGTATTATCTTAAGTCGAACCAATATGCAGATGAAGATGAGCATGGATTGCACAATCACAATCACCAATCTGTCATGTTTGGGAAGTCCACAATCCTGCAGTTTTTTGTGTCGTCCATCTTCAGGAGTCCTAAAAATGCTCCCAAAAATGCTGGAGTTTGCATCAATGACTACATATTGTTACTCATGTTTCTGCATTGGATGACTATAGCATTGAATTATTGATTCTTTTGCATTTTATGTTGTAATAACAAAAATGGTGTGAGATGTTTGTCTAATTAATGTATTGGTATTCTTGTATAATTGAGACACGGGTAGTTGAATGAGTTGCATTTCACAATTGTCCGTTCAAGATGCTCTCTTTTTTTCATATTTGTTACGGTTCATTTTTTATGATTCCCGTGAAAGGACTTTCAAACGTTGGCACATTAACCATGAAGATTGAAGCAGTGATCATCCTACGGAACATATAGGTCACACTACTATTTTTTCTTGGTGGCCGATTAGGCGACGCCTAAATAAAATTCTAATATTACAACGTCACTAGTTAAACCTGTTTACTACATAAGTGATAGGATAGAAAATAATATAAATGTAAACGGGAACTAAATAATATACCGTCAAACATGCCATAATTGAAAAATGAAAAAGTCTAGTTAAACAATAAAAAGGGCACAGTCAAAGCGCCGCAACAAAAGGATTTGAGATATGATCCATACCACTCAAAAATGAAGCTACTCTGCTTGCATAATGTTATCTAACAAAATACATTTTTGATTACTAATCAAAATAAGCGAACATTGAATCAAATTCCTCCCACTCCTCGCACTTTGCACAAGGTCGACCATTGTCTCATAACCTTGAATCCGCTTTTCGCATCTATGCTCGAATAATTGAGCTATCAAGTGCGACCCTGAGATGTTTGCATCAAAGTTTATGCCCTGACATCATTCTTTCGATTTATAATGTATTCTGCAAATTCAATAACATAAAGATCGCAATCGTGGATGCATTAATGTGAAATATAATTATGTTAAGTGCTGTAACAATTAATTTGTGAAGCAAAATGAGTACACGAATTTGAAAATATTTGAATAGAAGTTTAAACGTGATATACCTTTGGATTGTGCATTACCATGAAATGAAGATTGGAATATAACCAACACACTGATAAATAGAAGCATATACATCCTGATGTAGGATAAAGGAGATTCTAGCAAAGAACTTAAAAACAACAAAGTATAAGCAGAATAGTAGAACCACGGCAAGAAGGGAAACAAAAGAGAAAGTGGAGAAGAAGCAGAAGAAGAAGGGAAAAAAAGATGGCAGCAAAGGGGAGAAACCCAAAGAATGATGAGAAGTTAGGGGGAAAGAGGAAGGAAAACTTGATGCGCAGACATATCATTCATCAACTGTTTCAATTACAATGCAAAAAATCATATAAATATTAAAACATAACCGTACTAGTGAAGGGTATGGTCAACCCAATAATCCAAGCCTAATAGAAACGGTAATATAAACTAGTCCAAAAATAGATTTCCTCATCAACTCTCCCAGGGGACTCGACTCTGTCGAGAAGATTAATCACAAAAGACCACGACGGAAGATCTTTCTGATGAACCAAATATCAAAACTCCAACTTGATCCAAATTGGTTGGAGCCTCTCTCTGGCAATCTGTGTACAGTCAGAGTCATGTTGATCTATCCAACAAACAAAGAAGCTATAAATCTCTCCATCATTGGTCAACACAATTTATTCATATAATGTAGCATCAATTTTATCTTTGCGTGGTATGCCAAGTGATATTAAAGTAGAAACGGCAGCATATTCAGGTTGGGGTTCCATAGATGAAAGTAGAAAAGGATCATAAGGGAAATTAAAATGGCATTTGTAGGTAACTAAGTCCACAACATTGAAAGTAGAGTTATAGTCAAAATGTGATGAAAGATTAATGACACATTATTTGGACCAACGCGCTTTAAAATTTTAAAAGTTCCAACACTACCGACTTGCAATACAACATAATCCCCAATATTAGATTCAACATGTCATTTATGCAAATTAGCTCAAAGTTTATGTGATGCATTACTTGCTTCAAGGTTTTTATTGATCTCAATATGCAAGTCTTGAAGATATTGTACAAATGCCTCATCTCACATAGAGAAACTAGTATGTAAGGACATGGGAATAAGGTCTAAAAGTTTCATAAGCTTATAACTATGAATAATTTCAAAGGGACTCATACCTATGGACCGATTCACAATTTTTATATGCAATTTGAACTATTGGGAGGATCAAATCTTAATTCCCAAGATTTTTAGCAACTTCAGTTTCACCATCAGTCTGAGGTTGGTCTGCAGTGAAAAATTTCAATTTAGTGCTAACCATATACGATAGGGTTCTCCAAAAGTAACTAGTGAAATTATCAATCTCTTTGGGTTGGGTAAAGGTAAGATATATAACACGTAATCGAGAGGTGTTGGCAACAAGAAGTATAATATCTAGATTCTCGGGAAGAGTTCGGATACCACCTAAGAAGGTGTACTCACTATCATCCAGATTATCAAAATTTTCAAGTTTAGGTTCATAGACTAGATCTTCTAATGGCTCATCTATTATATTCTTTCGTT